CCTTTCCCCTTTTTCTTTTTTCCCTTTTCCATCTCCAAGCCCCCAGCCCATGGGACGGCCACTCCCATATCTAGAGTTGTCCACCCCACTCCGTCGTCTCCAATGTAGTCACATTGACGATGGAGATGAACCATCATACCTAGTTCACTGTGGCCGTTAGCTCAGCCGCCAGTAGCCGTCTGTGGCACCTACATAGTCACTGTGCCAGGACTCCTGCCCCATCTGGTGTGACCAGAGCCCTGGGAGCATTCTGTGCTTCATCTAGGAGGAGAGGGACAAAGCCTTTGTTCAGTGCCAGCTCTGTGGAGGCAGCTGTCACTCGGGCCTCCATGGAGGTTATTGTGGTTAAAGGCCCTGAGCCACAGAACACAGGTCATGCCCCTCACTCACCCCTGGAAGGTCTGCTCTTTCCCCTTCCCTCCTCAAAGAGATCAAGCTTGCAGTGCATGGATGTGTTCCTGCTCTCTCTCTCCCTCCCTCTCTCTCCCTCTCTCTCCCTCCCTCCTTTCTCCCTCTTTTCCCCTCCTTCCCTCCCTCCCCCTCTCTCTCTCACACACACAGATGATAGAGAGAGCAAAAAGGGTCCAAGCTTTGAATCTGTCACGTCTGCATCAGATATAAGGATGAGCTTGTTCCCAGCATCTTGTTCCCGCCCAGAATAGCCTGTGAGGAAACGGTGCCGCCATCTGTGCCTCCTGTGAGGAAAGTGTGTGCCACATACAAACCTTCAGCCATCAGGCCCCAGTCAGCCCTCTCTCACCACTACTCCATATGCACGCCACTCAATACCCCCGTGCTAACACACACAACATGCACACTGAAACCAGCCTACAGGTCCATGTACCCATGATGCTCCAGAACCAACACACACACACACACACACACACACACACACACACACACACGCACACACGCACGCACGCACGCACGCACGCACGCACACGCACACACCTGCACAACCCTGTGTCCCACCACATGGCTTCAGAGGCACATCCATACACACAGCAAACCTAAGCAGACACAATCTATGCCTATGTGTCCACGTACTCATTACATACGCCTACAAGGCATACACTGGAACACACCTACACCTACACAATGCTCACGCATGCTGTATACATTCAGGCACACTCTAGGCACATCTATCAAACACACACAGACACATTCTGGGTGCCTAAAGTGGACAGAGATAATGCACTCACATAAAGCCGTCCATGGTCAGACATGCTGCCTACACACATTCTGCATCCTGTCTATACTGGCTGCATTCCAGGTGCCAATGCACACCTCGTACCTGGCGTACTCGCGCAGACATACACACTCCCCAGTAAGCTTGCACTAGAGGAATGGGGGTGGAAGGGAACAAAAGGAAGCCATCTTGAGCCCAGGGAGGTGGGGTTATCACATACAGCTGAACAAAGAGGGTTATTGCACACAGCTAAATAAGGGTGTGGGTTATTACATATAGATAACAAGGAGGCAGGGTTATTATAAACAGCTGACCGAGGAGACAGGTTCCACCAATCTCAGTAGGAGCAGTCTTCATGCCATGAACATCTAGGGCAGAAAGCTATGGTCGACATTTTCTGCACACGCTATCACCATTCACACACAGACCAGAGGCAGGCTTTCCGATCCCTCTGAGCCTCACCCAGGGAAGGCTTTGCCACTCCCATGAGGCAGAGGCACTGGGGTCCTTGACATGGCAGTGCCCATGCCAACAACACACATTCACTCAGAACTTCTTCTGCTCCCTAAACAGACCCATGAGCCTCATTAGTGAGTGATCAGCCCCAACCCTGCTGGCTAGTGATATACCTGAGTGAAGGTGGACCTGTCCAAGGACTGGCCCTCCAGTGACGAGGCCCAGGCTTCCCTTGGAGGGGGCACACTCAAGAGCTCCGGCTTCTGGGTTCATCGTCTCTTCACCCCTTCCTGGATCTGTGTGTAAAACCCAATCTCTGGTCTTTTCCCTTCCTCTGCAGGTGACATTGGTGGTCAGATGGGATTGTTTATTGGTGCTAGTATCCTTACAATACTAGAGCTCTTTGATTATATTTATGAGGTAAGATTTGGGGTTACCCTTGGGGAAATGATTAAATGGTGGAATACCCAGACTCAGAACCAAGTGGGGCTACCAAGTGGTAGCTTCGATACACACACACACACACACACACACACACACACACACACAAAGCCACTTCTCCAAAACATAAGGCAGGAGGAGTCTTAGGAGAGGTAGATGTGAGAGAAATGGCAACCCTAGTTCTCTCCCTGGACCTGGCCTACGCTACAGAGTGGGAGTGGAGGAATGAGAAGAGGCCAGCCTGTGCAGAAGGCAGCCCTGAGTCCCTTACACCCACAGTGGGACCAGGGCAGGGTTTCATACCCCAGGTAGTCCACATCTATATGCAACACATCACACACCCAACATATTACACACACATGCATCACACACATATCACACTTAAACATACGTAATCCCACATGCATTCACACAATGTGTTCCTGAACATGTGTGTGCACACACGCGTGTGTGAGCACACACATACATTCAAACCACATTCACAGATCTGCATACCACACACAACACACTCAGGAGCACACACCACCTGCAAGCCTGTCCTCTCAGTGGTCTGTCTTCCATGGCCTAGCCAGCCCTAGGGAGGGGGCACATGTCCCTGGAATCCTCATCAAACCCCAGTGAGATCACAGTGTCCACTAACTGCTTCTGCCACTCACAGTCTGGGGAGATGTGACCCTCTAGAGGCAGCTGGGGCCAGGTTTCTGAAAGATTCTCAAACAGAGGCCCTGGAGCATATCAGCCCTTACAACTTCCTCACCCCAGGCAAGAGTGAGCCTGCCTTGGTCTACTCTGCCCATGGTTCATCTGGGCAGAGAGATGGCATGACCAGCCGCCTGAAGAACAGCTGAGTTAGTGGGCTAACCTACCTATTGAATAGGTTCCATGTCAGCTCTGCCCTGCTCTGGTGATCACTTGGAGACCTCCATGTCCCTGGCCACAGGTGGGCAATTCACACTGGGCTGGGAGTGCCTCCCTGAAACAGGTGGCCATCCCAAAGTCCTCCAGCATTCCCACACTGCACAGTCCCTTGGGACTCTGATTCTCAGCCTCCTCATGGCCTCACAGGGAAGGCAAAATACCTCCGGCAATCATTTCAGTAGAGCCCCTTGTGACCAGTCCAGAGACTCGTGTGTCTCTCAGCACGATGAGACTACAACCCAAATAAGTCCAGATTTTTGTTCTACATTATTTATTCATTCTCTTTAAAGCTGTACAAAGTGAATGGCAAATTGAACCACATTAGATAGTATATTTAAGAACTACCCTTAATTGCTACAAATGAAGTGTTATAACCCTTGGGCATGCCCTCATCTTCTGGAGGTATCAGTCCTTGAATGTGAATAAAGAACCTGAGTGTGGTGGCATATATCTGTAATCTCAACACCAGGAAGGCTGAGACAGAAGGATGGTGAACTTGAGGCCAACCTGAGCTACACAATGAGGAAGAGGTCCCACAGTGCTGGCCTAGGTCCCATAAGGATCTTTAGCTTATCCATTGGAGTAAGTGGTCCACACAGCAAGGCAAAGCCCTCCTCAACCCTCTTCCAAGCTCTGTTTGGAGCAACAAAATCACATGTAGGCCAAAAGGAGAGCTTGAGAGAGTGAGGCCCTACAGCTGTCCACCAGGCAGGGAGGGCTCTTGCCGTCATATATGTACGGCCACAGCCCACAGTCACTGCCTATGTGGTTCTCTGGTTCAGCCCTGAGGAAGAATACCCTTTGGCCTTTGCACCATCCTTCCAGCCTGACTGTCCACTTCCTGTCTTTCTTACAGCTGATCAAAGAGAAGCTACTAGACCTGCTTGGCAAAGAAGAGGAGGAAGGGAGCCATGATGAGAACATGGTAAGAACAGCTCTCCATGGGCTAGCTTGTGTAGGCAATATGAAAGGAGACACAGGTCGGGGCAGGAAGGACCTGAATCTCAGCCCATCTTTCCATGACCTGTGATACCCTCTCATGCCCCAAATCCAAGGACACTCCAGCTAGGCCATATCCCAAAAGCCAATGACTAAGCCATGAGTGGAGCTGACTCTAAAAGATGCTTCCTAGGGTGGATCCTTCTCCAGGCTACAGGGCTATTCCCCTCCTCTCGTACTCCTACAAGAGAGTCCCTGTGTCTACTTCCACGTTTCCTAAGAGTGGGAAGTGCACCCATGTCACTGACCTCCATCTATTTGAAGGAGTATGAGGCCTCATGCAGTTAGTAGCAGCAGTTGTACACATTACGGCTACTGATCACTGTATTCTGGCTAGAGGCTGAGCACCGTTTGGGGTTGGGTCTTGTCATCGCAGCCACCATAGATGAAGGTCTGTCTTTACCTTCTTTTGGCCTTTGATGCCACTGAGGCCCAGAGGCCAGAGTTACATAGCTTTTAAGTATCGGGACTAAACCTTAAGTGCCTCTAACCACTGGATCACTCTGCCTTTTCTCTATAGTCGGAGGCAGCACCCTTCATTTTCATGCCTGTCCATATCATTCTTTTCCATAGCTCAGCCCACTCCTGGGCTCAGGACTTGGTTGACTGAGGCGGGGATCTCCAGCTCTCTTTCCCATACTACATCCCAAATCAGCCTTGTGAGAATCATGTTCAAGTGGCCACTGCCTCGCTGAAATGTACTAGCCCCAGATGGATCCCAGCCCTTCCTGTCAGGCTCCCATTTCTATTCCAGATACTGTCTCATCACACAGTTCCCAGGCAAGAAGCCTGGCTTTGATTCTCGTGACTCCCGAAGGCGAGTCTCTGCTAAGGGAGAAAACTGTAAAGAAGCCAAGAGCCTAGGCTCTGGTCTCAGTTGTCTTGTCCACAGCCTAGGTCCTCAGAGTCCTAGCTGTGTGCCTGGGGGGCGTTCCTAAGCCTCCCTAAGCATCTGCATAGGATCACAAAGCCTCAGAGGGGTCTCATAGGGTTCAGAGAGATTGTACTTGCATTTCAGAGACAGTGAGTGCTCTAAAAGCCATGGTTCCCTCCCCACCTCCCTTCCTTCCTTAGAATGTCTCAGTCACAGCCACCTTTCACCTGTTTCCCCTCCCCCAGCTCTGTCTCCATCAACTCCCCCCACTCCTCACCCTACCCTGTCCAGAACCAACCCCAGCACCCTATCCCTGGCGCAACCTCCTGCCTGGCCCTTCCTCCTCCCATTTCTCTCAACTGTCTGCACACTGCAGCCTGGGAGCTTCGGGAGATGTACAGCATTTCAGGTCCACCCTGCTCAGGGCCTCTTCTGTATCCCCCGGGGCCACCCCTGGAGCTCTGATCAGTTCTGATCCCGACCTTGGGAGGATCCCACCCCGCCTCACAGGACTTTGCAGTCGACTTTTCTGAATGAATCTTTCCCCTGCAGAGCACCTGCGACACGATGCCGAACCACTCTGAAACCATCAGCCACACTGTGAATGTGCCCCTGCAGACAGCTTTGGGCACCCTGGAGGAGATCGCCTGCTGACACCTCAGGCGACCCGGCACCTCCAAACAGACCTTAAGGCCCAAGACCCAGGACAGGGGACAGCAAGCTCAGATGGGATGGCCCCTGATGACAGGAAGAAGCAAGAGCCCCCCCAATGCACACACACACACACACACATTGCGAACTTCTGCCGAACCTCACTCTGGCCACATCTGACATGAATCGTCCCCGGGCCCTGCCACTTGCCCCTTGTAGGACCGATGAGTCCCACTCCGGAACTGTCCAAGGACTAACCTGCCATCACATCTCACTGCCAGATGTACAAAGCACCCGCATGCTCAGACTTCTCACGGCGCCACCTCCACTTCTGTCTTGTACACGATATCTTCTCCACGCAGTTTCCAGAGCCCCACTCTGCAGCCTCGGCAGTGGGACCAGGTTCCAGCCCCAAAGCCACCCTGAGCCCAGCTCTGGAGTCAAAAACTGCACGGTCAAGAAGGAAACCACCGAACTCTCTACAACGTTTGATCCTTGTTTGTGAAGGTTCTTCACCTGCCCACGAACCCTTGTCCCCCAAAACTGGCCCATGGGGCTCCTGCGCTAAAGGTGACCAGTGCCAGCCTCCTTCTTATCCCAGCACCTGTGGAGGTGGTACAGTGGCCTGGGTGACCCCAGTATTCGTCTGTGGAGCCACGTCGTTCTCACCCTGTGACACAGCTGTAGAGTTTGATTTCTTTTGTTTTGTTTGGGGGCGGGGGCTGTTTTTGTTCGTCTGTTGAAGATTGTTTTGGTTTGCTCTGTTTTGTGGTCTTCAGTCTGGATGTTCTAAGGTTCGGTTTGGGTTTTCCATTTTCTTTGGAGTTTATTTATTCGTGCTTCGAACCACAGTCATATTAAAAGCTGGTCTTGTGGAAGTGGCCACATCATTCTGCCTTTTCTCAGCATCTAGTTTTCGGTCCCTGAGGGCTAACGACAGCCTCAGACCTGCCAGCCAAAACTACTGAGATTGTGTTTACAAGGTTCATCGACAGCGCTTACCTTTACAAGGTGTGTGTACTGTATATTTTATGCTAGTCTGAGTCACAACTTAATTAGTTTACTACATGATCCACTAACAGGTCAAAACCTATGTTCTGCAGGACACCACCCAATATAAGTGTTATTAAAAAGAGAGAGAGAGAAAGAGAGAGAGAGAGAGAGAGAGAGAGAGGCTACCCATGTCAGAAAACCTTAGCAGAGACTTCGAGGGCCCCTGTACTCTGCTGCCCTGAATGCTCCCAACCCTGTCTGTGAGCTCAGGCTAGACATAGAGTCAGTGTGACCTCTCACTCACCCCCATCTGACCCTCTCTTAAGCCCCATTCTCTACCCCCATGAAACTGACCTACCTTGTCCTTCCAGGGGTCACATTTGAAGCACCTTGTTCCCTCCGACCCCAAAGAGGAGGTCCAAATGGGACGCAAGGTTGAAGGAACCTTTGCTGATCACAATTGCATGCCCCTTTGAAGCCTCTGGGTGGCAAATGAGAGCTTCTTGTTTGGGCAGAATCACTCCACGCTGGTTCCATGGTGACAGTCCCTCTAGGCTAGGTTTTTACTTCCGACCCCAAAGCCCTAGCACCCCTAAGCCAGAGTCTGCCCCAGCAGTGCAGACAGGTCTGATGTGGCTTGTGTCTTTACCCCCATGTGCACATTCATGCATAGTACAGGTCAGAACAGGGGTCCAGGGGCCTAGTCTCTACTCTGTCATTCTCTCCCCCACCCATCACCACACTGTGATTTCTCCAGCATGTTGAGTTGAAGAATCTCACAACTAGGAGTCTGCCACCATGGCCCATGGCCCTTTCCTCTCAGTAGCTGATTGCGGTGACACTCTGGCCCTCTCTGGGTTCACTCCCTTGATGTGAGGATGATCTTATTTTACCTTTGGGAAGGTGTGGGACCAGGTAATGTCTGGTATAAGACCCCTTCAGATTCCAAGTGCTGTGACCATACTACCCAGCACCAGATGGAACAAGTTCTATATATACACCTGTCACACACACACACAAGCATGGCCAGGTGTGATGACAACTGCAAAGAGAGCTGGGAAAGAGATCTGCTGCAGTGCCCGCCCCCACGCTCACTTATACCCAAGCCCTCTATGGGGGTTGCCCAAACTGCTAACAATTCTTACAAATGCAGAATGGCATGTCTGGAAAGTTTCCTGTGTTGTTTTCGATCGAGGAGGAAGTAAGTCATAGTATAGTGTTGTTTAAAACAGCGTACCATCTTACTGTTCTGGGAGGTCTGGCACCCATCTCACTGGACTAAGGTGACAGCAATAAGGTGCGTTTCTTTCTAGAAGCTCCAGGGAAGGATACACTTCCTGACCTTGGCCAGCCTCTAGAGGCCCGCCGAGTTTCTGGACCCATGACTCCTTCCCGCTTCTTCAAGTTAATTAGGACTGCTGAGTCTTCTCAGGTCACATCACCAGAACCCTCCATAGTCACACCTCCCTCCAACTCTGACCTCCTCTCCTGCCCTCTTCCACTTGTAGCTACATTTGGGCCCACCAGGCAGTCCAGGACAACCTGCTCATCTGCGAAGCCTCTTTACAGTGTGGGGTCACTTGTTCCAGGGATCAGGATGTAAACATCTTCATGGGCAATTTTTCTGCCTAGTGGACTACATAGCCTAATGCCCTGGTCTTCCAAATCAATCGCCCCAACTGGGGTGTGGAGAGACTAACTTGGGTCACCCACAGAACAAGGGGCTGTGCCCTCAACTCCCAGGCTCCTCCACTCTGTTTGTAGACCTACCACAATGACTCACCTGGAGCAAACAAAGCCAAAAGTGATTTTTCTTTCAGACTTCACCAGGCCATAGACATCTCTCCTGAGACAAACTCACCCCTTGGCTCACCCAGCTGGGAAGTGTCCCACTGGTGACTGGACCATCAAACCTGGAAGGACAGGGGTCTGAAGGCTGGTCTCAGACTTGCTCCCATCAGTGACAGGAACAAAGTGGAATGTCTATTTGGATAGCTAGGAGCCTGTCTGATGCCTCTGCCTTCTTCTAATTGAACAACTTCATACATTTTTAAAAATTGATAACTGAAGATGCTATTTGAACTACTTCAGTGGATTCTAACTTCCTTCCAGGAAAAATATAAATAAGGGAGAGGGATCATTTTATCATGGTGCAAAGACTATTCAGACACATCTGTATTGCTTTGGGCCTCACATATCTATGTATACCATCCGATTTGGGTGTTCTGGCTTTTTTTCAGTTTAGGGTAAGTCTATGTACTTCACCTGTTTAAACGTTTATACACACACACACACACACACACATATATATATATGAAATTCAAAAGAACAAGCCAATATCCAGGTCTCAATCAATCATTAACTAAAGGCAGTCTAAATTCCAGTGAGTGGTGGAGTGTTTTTATTGCTGTCATTGCGAACAAGTGTCCTAAGAAATGTCTATAGAGATGTTTTCTGAGAGACAATCAGGAAGGGTCAGGTGTGCAGAGGATGCTCAGGCATGTGTCACAGTCTAAGGAATCACTGAAAATGACACAGAAACTTGGAGCTGAGAACAGTCGCATGGCCACACCTCAAGACTGGATGCTCAGTGGCCTTGGAGGCTGAGATAAATTGATGGGTGGCCCAAGGCCTCACAGACAGAGTCCAGGAGGCAACTACAGTCAGTGGAACAAAAGGAACAAGTCCTTCTGTGAGCATCCAAGCTGAGCCAGGGACTGAGCTGGCTGCGCACAGGCTGTTGCTTTGTTGTTTTTGGCAAAGACACCAGAGTTATTTTATTTTCCTCTCTCCAGCTTGCAGCTATTTTTGTGAATGTTTTAACCGTGAACATGCCTAGAGAGTAGTTTCTAGAGTGGCAAGCACTGATGGGAGACTAGAGTCCCCCGAGGGTCCAGCTCCTAACAGGGGTGGCAAAGGGACCCTGCCCCCCACAGGGGTGAGCTTGCCAGGTGACATGCTCCTTCCTTCCGGGAAGCTTGCCTCAGCACACCTGAGCAGAGAGGTTCAAGGAGAAGCCTTGTGATCACGTCCTTCCCAGACTTGGAGACTTCTGTTCCTGGAATGTGCAGCCAGGAGGCTCCGTCGGCCCCAGTGACTGAATTCCCCAGTTAAAGAGGAGAAAGGGGGTTCAGAGAGGCCAAAGAACTCCTTCTGCAGGAGAGTTCAGTGGGTCCTGATCCACATACAGTGGGGGTAGTCCCCATATTGCATAGAGCAAGCTTCCTGGCCGAGGTGGGGAAGGAACAGGAAAACAAACCAGAGGCAATAGCCAAAGCATGAAGAGCAGAGGCCACCATTCGTTCACCTCAACTGTCGGGTACCAGGCATTTGCCCTCATGAAGTTCATAGTCTGGATGGAAACACTGGCGAATAGCCAGATGGATCTGGGTTCCAGTTGAAGGAGCGTGAAAGGAGGTATAAGCCAGGTCCAGGAGGTTAGAATAGGCAGAGTTTAGGAGACAGGGCACAAGTCAGGGGACCCCAAGCAGAGACAGGAAAGGGAGAAATGAACATGTACAAGCGCTTGCACGCGCACGCGCGCGCGCACACACATACACACACACACACACACACACACACACACACACACACACACACACACACACACCACATGCATGCAGGTACATAAGACACTTTTTCCGTGGTTTTTTCATTTCTTTTTGCTTCTTGTAACATATTGATTCTTAATCTTGTTTGGATCACCGACTCGTTTTAGGATAAAGTGAAAGCTATGAATTCTCCTCCCAGGAAAGATATTCATGCCCATGAGGACAGGCATAAGATTTTACATATAATCATAGAAGGGTTCTAAAGACCTGCAGCCCATCTATGACCCTCCATGGCTCCATGGATGCTGGCCATGGTCTAGAAAGTGCAGACTAATTTGCAAAAGAGCCCACACCAGCACACAAAGAGGGATTGATGTTTCTTTTCCCCAAATGGCATAATGACTGTCGTTTTTTCAATTTGCAGAAGGGAAAACAAAAGATAGGGTTTGATCAATTTCAATTTTTATTCCTCATTTTTTTAACCCTTTGCCACCTGCTGCAGCATGTGAGGGGAGCATGTTCTCACAGATGGCAAAGTGAATGAGTGAGCGGAAAATGAATACGTACAGGGAAACTCAGGAATGGGATTTCATAAAATGACTTTATGCATGTGGAGATTCCGAGGGCTGGAGAGGCCTGAATATATGAGCAGCAACCACAACACCTGCTTTACAGATGTGCTCATGGCCTGGTTGCTAGAGAAGGAGGGAAATGTGTATGTGATGTTCTTGGATGGCCATTGAACCTCAGTCATGTCCTTGCTGATGGATTTCATTGGCTTTTTTTTTTTAAAGCAGAGATGCTGTCTTGTTAAGATTTCAATTTCTGCGATAAGACATCATGACTCAAAGCAACTTGGGTAGAAAAGGGTTTATTTCATCTTGCATGTCCCAATTACAGTCCATCATAAATGAAATCAAGGCAGGACCCTGGAAGCAGGAGCTGATGCAGAGGCTATGGAGGAATACTGCTCACTGGCTTGCCCTTCATGGCTTGCTCAGCCTGCTTTCTTATAGAACTCAGGATCACCAGCCCAAGGATGGCACTGCCCCCTGTAGGGTGGGCCCTCCCCCATCAAACATTAATTGAGACAATACCCTCACAGACTTGACTAAAGGCCAATTTTATCGATGCATTTTCTCAATTGTGGTCCTCTCTTCTCTGATAACTCTAGCTTGTGTCGAGTTGACATAAAAATAGCCAACTTAGATGTGAAGTCTGTGTGATTGTTCAAAGAAAATTCCACACCCTGAGAATGAATACCTGAGGGGTGCTGGGAGATGGGATACAGATGTCTGCACTCTTTGAAGATCTTCTGTGCCATATTAATTTGC